CTTGACCCAGAGCTCCAAAACAAAAGTAATAACTACAATTCAACAATTAATCATATATCACATATAATTAAATCAAACCGTCAAAACATATATGCATTGTTACAAATGACATGGCATAATGATATTACATGTAAAAATAAGAGAAAAATATATCAAATTATTTAAAGATAAAATTAGATTCTCAAATCTTACTTCCAACAGGATTATTGAATGATTAAACTAATAAATTTCTTTAATATAAAAAAATTCTAATGTATTAAAATATATACTCTCAACAAGAATAAATTCTTTATTAAAGGTAGTTTTACTATAGTTTTTAATAATATATTAAAATTTTTAATTTAATGATTAAATACTAATATTATTGAAAGTAAAAATAAATGATACAAATATCAACCCCAAGCGTGTGGTTCAGCGGTAGGGTTGATTCACGCTTAAGCAAGGTCAGGAGTTTGAATCCTGACTTGTGTATGCAGATGCGTTAAATTGCGTTAAATATTGGGGCAATTATCCCACCTTTTGAGGTGCCTAAAGTTGCTTCTGCGTTTTTTTACCTATTTATAAGTGAAAAATGAAACACGTTATTACTGTTTTATTACTTGTTTTTCTTAATGTAAAAATTTTCTCTTATTTTTACTTCAAACTAAGAAAACTTAACGATATAAGTCAATTTTTTATCCATATAATATAATACTAATGTCCTGTTTGGAAAATATATATAATATAATATATGATATAAGTTTGATGAGACATCAACAATTTGAGTGTAATGTAGTACAAATTATAGGAATGAAGGATAAAGTAGGAAATAAAACTTCAAACTTCGTCTTGTAAAAACTGGTAGTAGCCTTAATTTATACCCTTATTTCTTATAATGAGTACATAATAAGCATATTATTGAGGACAAAGCAACTTATCCTTGAATTGGGTGTGAAGTTCCTTTGTTTCCGCAAGATATTTCGACCTAAACAAAAGGTGCAAGAACCACTTGAGAATCTTCCATTATTAATCCAAAAGGAACTAGGATTGCATTTGTAGGGGACCATGTATATAATAATAAACTCTACAAATAGTGTCCCCAATAGAGGGCTCCCGTCGAGTTTATGGCTGTTGAACACCCACTTTTGAATATATTGAATTTAAAACATACTGTCGTGTTATTCTTTAAATTTATGAAATTTTAAAATTAGTTTTTAAATATGTAAATTACAATCACATTAATTAACAACTACAAACAATTAAGGCTAAAGTAATAATATTGATATATGTTTAAGAATTAAAATATAAAACATAGTTATATTTAAATATTTAGTTTAAGAGACTAATTTTATAAGAGTTTAATGATGTATTGTTAATGTAAAAAGTTTTACACAATCAACCAATTTGAAATTATGATTTGGATAACTTTTAAAATAATTATTATAAAAATAAAAAAAAATTATTTTATCATATGGTAATTGAATAATAGTGTAAAATTATTTTATCATATTGGTACATCAACATTAAATCTATTTTATAATTTTTTTTAATTTTAAAATCTAATATAGTAAAATAAAACTAATTTTATAATTTCAAAATTAATATAATATTTAAATTTAGAAACTAAAATAACTATATTTTCTGGTCTAGCGTAAGACTTGTCTTAGAACATAAGGGATGAATATAGTTTTCTCATGTTTGATTCTGTCATAATATATGGCTAGCATTCACATGTCACCTCATAAATAATGTGATCTAATTTTAATGTGTGATTGATATTTATTTATTAAAAAATCTTATTTGTATATTTTTTATTTTTGAATGTCATATTATTAAGGAATGTCTTGGTTTAGGATTTCGTAAGATTTTAAAAGACTTTTTTTGAGTAAAAAAGTCCATTGGTATTCAATCAAGACTTTATGTCACTTAAAAACAATCCAGTGGTATTCAATCTGGATTTTCAAGATTTTTTAAAGAGTCCATTAAAATCCATTGGTATCCATTTGAGATATTTTACAACTTAAAAACAATCTATTGATATTAAAAAAATATAAGGATTTTAAAGGATTGTTGAGTGAGAGAGATTTTGAAGGACTTTCTAGTGTTATTTATAAATACTAAATTCATAAAACAATCTCATCCAAACCCATCAGATTTTGAAGGATTGTTTGAAGTGACTTTTTAAGTGTTTCAAGAATTTTCAAGTGAGTTTTTCATCTTTTTTTTATGCTCCTGTCTTTTCCATTTTTTCTCTGCTAATAATATTGCACTATTGTTCATTGCTCATATATAATATTATAGTATTGTTCCCATTCCATTCCCCCCTATTTTATGAAACTTTGATATGTAAATGATAGTGTCATTGACTTGCTCTATTTTTCTGGTCGTTCTCTTTAATTGACTTGCTTTATTTTATTCTATGTAGTTGAATTTTTTCCTTTATATAACACAAAAAATGCTTGAAATTTCAACTTTTAAGTGGTAATTTTTTTTATAACACACATCAAGAAAAGTAAAAGGTGAAAGATGAAATTGATATCATAATCTATAATATATTTTTTTTACTATGAATTTTTATTTTTATTTTTATATTGTGAAATTAGGATTTTTTTTTTATATTTTAAAAAAGAAAACTAACATAAGATATTGCAGTATCTAATATTATATATATTGCATATGTAATTAGGTAAATATTTTTTGGTGGATTGTGGATTTCTTAATCAACGCCAATTTTTAGCTCCATTTCGAGGTGTAAGATATCATCTACAAGATTTTGCAGGTCAGGGTAATGATCCTGAAAATGAGAAAGAATTGCTCAAGCTTTGTCATGCGTCTTTAAGAAATGTGATCGAGAGAATATTTGGTATTTTTAAATCAAGGTTCACAATTTTTAAGTCAGCACCTCTATTTTTATTATTTAAGACACAAGTAGAACTTGTGTTAGTATGTGCAACACTACATAACTTTCTACGTAAAGAATGTCATTCTGATGAATTTCCAATTGAAGATATGGATGAACCTTCATCTTCAACGTTACCAGTTAATGAATATCATACTTTTGAGCCTATTATTCAAACCCAGGAGCAAAAGCGAGAAGACGCTAATGCTTGGAGGACTAATATAGCTATGGATATGTGGGTGAATGCTATTTAAGAGGATAAGATATTATGAAAAATTATTATTATTCTTATTTATCTAGACATTGTTGTTTTTTATTATTTTTGTCTTTGACTCTTTTTAAATTTGAATGTATGAATTTTTTTTTGAAATCTTATCAAATGTCAAAAATCCACGAAAATTCTACAAAATCCCACAGAATCCATTAAAATCCCGATATAAAAGTCTTGCAGAATCCATTAAAATCTTGATTTTAAGTCTTGTAGAATTCTGCAAAATCTTAAAATCATGAAAATCTTACAAAGTCTTTTAAAATTCACAGGATTTTTTTTAACTAAAAAAGTCCTTTAAAATCCTAATCTAATACACCTCCTAAATGTCACATTACTTAAATATGTATAATTATTAAAATTTAACGATTAATAGATGTGAATTTGATAGAAAAATTAAAATTTAATATTTTTAAAATTAAAAATACATGTTTTTATTTTAAAATAAAAATAAAAAAGTCAATTTAAAAATAATAATTGATAAACTAAAGTGAATGTTTACTCGTAATAAATCAATCAAGATTCCTTCATTTTGACTAATAAATTAATAATTAATGAATTTTAAAGGCATTGCCATATTTACACAGCAAATAGGTCCCTCATTGTCTGTCCAGTGTTGCAGCCAAATCATATTGGAGCCGTTAAAGCCCTTTTCCCCCACACCGACCAAAACCATATTGGAGCCAAATCATATTACAAGCCTAGAATAGGATTGTTGCTTTTTTTTACACGGTGGCTTAAAGCTTGCATTTAAATTTAATACAATCTGCCATTAATATACTTAACGCGTTCAAACAGTTTCTTTTTTACGTTATATTTAATATTATATATAACTATTTTTCTTTTTCTTTATCTTTTTTGTACGCATAAAAAAAATAAGGTTTAATGTCATATTATTACATTAAAAATATTACACCATTAATCATCAAAGAAAATTATTTTTGAAGACATTTATGAAAATTATTTTAAAAATTAACAAGTTTATGGTAATGTTATTGAAAGTTGCGTGTAAAGAAGGGCACTACATTTAAAATTTTAAAAATACTCTTAATTTTTTAAAAAATTATTCTTTTTATTTATTAAGGAGATATAATTCTATTTAACCCAATCCATCCTATAAAAGTAAAGTAGCGCTATGATTTTATTCAAATCAAAGATACAAAATCTCAATTTTTAATTAAAATATTGAATTATTCGAATTAATGACTTTTAATATAAATTTTTTTTCTATATATGAATTATTTGTTTTATTTTAGTAATAAAATTTAAATAATATATTTAAAGTTTTAAATTTGAATCTTGGGTATCTATAATATTTCATATTATTAAAAAAATGTTTTTTTAATGTGAGAAAACATTTGCCACATTGAAACAATGCTATTCATTTTATTTTATTTTTTTATTATCCTCGTGTATTCTTTACTTAAATTATATTTTTGAAACGGATAGTTGCTTTGTTGGTGATTTCTTTTCTTCAAAAGTTGTGTGGGGGAGGAGCGGTTGTTGGGTCCAGTTTTGAAAACACACCTTCATTCACATGCCTTCTCCAGCACACATCAACATGCCCTCTTTCCAAG